GAAACGTACCGAATACCTACGGAGTAGCGGGCGGGGGTACGTGACCTACCCCGGGACCAGGTGCGGCAAGCGTGTCCGGCAGCCGGTGCTGTGCCGAGCAGCGCACCGAATACGCACGGGGTAGCGGGCGGGGGTACGGGCACCGAATTCACCCGCGGCCCGCGGCACGACTGCCGGGTCCGAAGCCTGGGCCCCATGCCCAGTGTGAGGCGATAGGCCCGCTCCGACCCCGGGCCTTCCGCAGCTTTGCCTCGAGTTTCGCCTGGCGGCAGCTCTCCAGACAGCAAAACACCCCTCCTGGGGCCGTGTTTCTCCAGCACGCCACTTTTATTTGGCTTAAAACAAAATTAATGGACTCATTACAGCCGAGACCTTACGGGCTCACCCTAATAAAGTTGTACGATAGACCCTAACGAGCCGACGTCACGTCACAGCTGTGGATGGCTGACGATGAGCGACTTTCGCCCCGCCATGGTACCGTCTGCAGCCTCACAGCCACAGTAAGGCTCAAGATTTGACTCGGCGCTCTCCTGGGCGGTGTCTTTGCAGTACGCTGGCACAGCGCGGCAAATATTTGCTCCGAAAGACAGACCAGCACACAGGTGGGAGCATGTGCACCGCACAGCGGCTGTTATCGTTCACCAGTCGGGCACACGTTACATCGCAGCGGGCTAGGACACAGGATAAACGTTCCGGAAAAAGCCAACGAGCGGGTGGTGCTTGATGCCTCTTATTTTCCGTGCTTGATGCCTCTTTCTAGATATCACACAGATAAAATGCCAAATTAAAATCTGGTGAGCTAAGTTTTACATTTGAGCATGTAACATTTGACGGAAGAATGGTCAAATGGAATGGAATGGAGGGAAAGAAACTGCCAACACGCAACAAACTCAACAAACGCGGGGTCTAACAATGACAAATTGTTATAAAATTGCCGGTGGGTGATACAATTTGCGCACTGAAACAACAGACGGCAAAATGATGACACTCATAAAAGCAGCGATTAGAGTCCTGTGACAATCTCGGTGTAAGGAGCGCGCTTTTCCAATCATCGTTCAGCAATAGGCAGCGGGGTAACACGAAGGTGCCATCGGCATCGTTATCACATCACTTTTCACACTGCTGTCACCTTTCAAGCAAAATGTGAACACACTCGCCACCAAACTGAGCGCATCAGGGCTTCACGTACACGGTTTGAGAGCATTTAAGCATGTGCTCATTGCATGGCGTTTGCCGGCAGTAGATGCGTCTACGCCTTTTGCGTTTTGGAACCATATCTAGTCTCAACACCAGGAAATCAAGCCTAAGTATTTTGCGACCGGTTTGTCCACGGTGCAATGCCGTCCATGTTTGTAAGCTGTCTACAAATTAGGACGGCATTCAATACAAACGAATGCTCTTTTACTGGTTTTCAGCAACCCTATAATCATTTTACCTATTTGGCTTTGAGTGTTATGTCTATTCATCACCCAAGCAATTATTCATCAATATTATTAGCTATTTACGATAACGGTTTAGCGTGCGCCCTTCACGTGTCGGACCCGTTTGGATTTCAGCGCCTGGGCATCAAGCTAGGATACGTCACGACCGGTTTACCCACGGTACATTAGTTTCCGTGCTTGTGAGCTGTCTTAATGATGATAACTTACAGCATTTGCAAGCACGCATACCTGACATCAAACACGGATATTCATAGGTATATATTGCCGACACTTTTGTTCCTGCATGCGATATAGCCAGTTTGAAGGCAACATGACGTGGGCCCTGACCAACAATCAGGGCCGTTTGAACCCGCTACATATCCGTATCACATTGTGCCGTTCCGTGCGCGTGAACACAAGGGTGAAGGTGTGCCGGTGCTTTGTCGTTATCTGTCGCTGCACGGCATGCTCCATGCAGTTGGCTGCAAGACGCCTACAGGCGACTCCTTGCTAGATTTTGAGCCATACATTTGGCTCCCCCGCCCCTCCTGGAAACGTGCGCCGTGTTAGACGGATACTTCTGGCCCGACATGAAGGGCCTGACCCTTGGTACGATATCCCAGGTACTGATGCCTGACGGCTGCATTTAAGTTGCGTTCTTATCCAGGCTGGGGAATTTTAAGGACTCAGGGATCGAAATGCCTGATGCCGGGATGCACGTACGGAGTTCTCAAATTGTGCGGGCTGTGCGTATATCGGGCTGCACAGCTTGCGCATTTCAGTGGCAGTTTGAGAGCCACACATGACTTCAGCGCGCTTGGATCACTTCAGCCCGTGAGATTAAAACACATGTAATACGAGAAGAGGTCGTCTGGCATCGTCACTCGCAAAGGGTAAGCCCAAGACGCTCGAGATCCCACCCGTGGTTTGTGCGAACTGTCTCGTCCAAAACCTGATCCGCTTCTTCCGGTTCCGCTCGGTCGTCAGTCGCTATCAGCGTGGACCGCCAGGTCGTCAGCCACTATCAGCGCTGACAGTCCCACCGTCAGCCGCTATCGGCGCTGACAGTCCAACCGTCAGCCGCTATCAGCACTGACAGTCCAGTCGTTAGCCGCTATAGGTGCTGACAATCCAGTCGTCAGTCGTTATCAGCGCAGACCACCCAACCGTCAGCCGCTATCAACGCTGACAGTCCAGCCGTTAGCCGTTTTCGGCGCCGACAGTCCAGTCGTCAGCCGCTTTCAGCGCTGACAGTCCAGTCGTCAGCCGCTATCGGTGCTGACAGTCCAGTCGTCAGTCGCTATCGGCGCTGACAGTCCAGTCGTCACCACTATCAGCACAGACCGCCCGGTCGTCAGTCGCTATCGGTGCTAACAGTCCAGTCGTCAGCCGCTATCGGTGATGACAGTCCAGTCGTCAGTCGCTATCGGCGCTGACAGTCCAGTCGTCACCACTATCAGCACAGACTGCCCGGTCGTCAGTCGCTATCGGTGCTGACAGTCCAGTCGTCAGTCGCTATCGGTGATGACAGTCCAGTCGTCAGTCGCTATCGGCGCTGACAGTCCAGTCGTCACCACTATCAGCACAGACCGCCCGGTCGTCAGTCGCTATCGGTGCTAACAGTCCAGTCGTCAGTCGCTATCGGTGCTGACAGTCCAGTCGTCAGTCGCTATCGGCGCTGACAGTCCAGTCGTCACCACTATCAGGACAGACCGCCCGGTCGTCAGTCGCTATCGGTGCTGACAGTCCAGTCGTCACCACTATCAGCACAGACCGCCCGGTCGTCAGTCGCTATCGGTGCTGACAGTCCAGTCGTCAGCCGCCATCGACGCGGACAGCCTGATCGACGCGTCGCGCCTAATGCGGCCGCCTCGCCTCAGCTGATTTGCATGACTACTTGTCACGCTGCCGGGTGGGCTACGGGCGCATGCAAACTGACAATGCGATGGGAGCCGCCTCTTCCCTGCCCAGCCGCTAATGCGACGGCGCTGTCCCTCCGAGAAACGACGCCTCCCGGGCTGCGCGTCTGCCACCTGCGTGCCGCCTCCAAAGCCGGCCATCCCGCACAGGCGGTCTCGCGACTTCGCGCGGTGCCCACGCAGAATTAACCGCTGCGCTAGCCTACGCATACCGCGGGGAGAGCGGGGCTATTAATTGTGCGGCTTGGCGGCGGCGCTGGGAGCTTGTCCAGCGGACGCGGAGGGGATGAAGAGGAATGGCCGGTCTGGCGGGTGTCGCGGGCACGCCGCGGCTGATCGTCTGTGAAAGGCTGCTGCCGGCGGGGCCCGCGCGCCGCTTTGTCCAGGTCGGTGTGCCGTGGCGGAGGCTGCGGCCCAGTCTCCGCCGGCGAGCTTCGGGGGAAAGGGAGCTACGCTGGTGGCGGTGCCGGTGACGGCGCCTGTGTCCGATTCACCGCCGGCGGGGTCGAGAGAAAGACGGCAGTGCCAGCGGTGGGAACACGGGCGTGGCTGTGTCTCAGCACAGTCATTGTCATACTGCTCAGAGGGCGGAGGGCCAGTGGTGGTACTGTGACAGGGCCTACGCGCCTGCGCAGAGAGGACCAATGGTCAGCAAGTTGTGCTCGGTAAGCACAACAGCCAGGCACGTGCCCTGGTAAGCAGCCTGCCACTGGCGCGTATTAAGGTGGAGACGTTTGGTATCCTTTGCCCCCAAACGCGATACACTTTTACTCTTCAAAACTAGGTGGACGCTATCGAAAACTCAATAAAGCAATGCCGCCGCTGTTTGGTTTCCCGTGAGTCGCACGTCATCAGGGCTTCATCGATGGCGATGAACGCCGCTGATTGTGTGCCCATCAGGCGCAGGGCCATCGGCCGCATGCCCGCCGGCGGGCCGCTGTTCTGTTGGCCACCCCGAGCGTCCCAGTGTAAACAGTCCACTGCAGCGGGCACGTGCGACATGTCATGGATCATTTGTCATCACCGATGGGCCGACCACTACAGGCCATCGTGCACCACTCGCGCCGCTCGCCGCTCCGATATCGAGACCGGCCAGAGGCCATCCAAACATTCCAGCCCGACACTGGAACACCAAGGCGATATTTATCTCCACATAAAGCGCTCCGGTACAGCCTGCTCCCTCCGCAGTGCTTGGCGCATGCATCTGCAATCTGTAATCACTAATGTGACACATGCACGTCATGCGAGGGTTCCTGGGCACCAGGAAGCTGCAATAGTGCGAAGTTGTTTGCGTTGGCTCAGCTACTGGCCTTACTGACTACTAGAGGACTTCATTGGCTGGGGACACTCATGGATACATATTTGCAATGGGCAACGGGTTGGGCTGTGTACAGGTTTTGTGAATATTATTTGCATGGGTGCGGGTTCAGCAAAACGTCCACAAAATGTCGGACAGGTTCTTCAGGTTCAGGTTCAAGTTTAATGTTATTGCTTGCGCTTCTTTTAGTCATAATTAGCTTCGCCGCAATACATTCAGCGGATGCGTGTGGGCACAGAACCATGGGTAACGGGTGGATTGGAAAATGAGCCTTGCCCGTGAAGACTTCTACTGGCGTCTGCCGCTGGCTACTGGTTCCCGTCCGCAGCTACATGTACTCACATCCATGAGCCGTAGTTGGCGCCGGCGCAGGACAGCAGCAGACCGACACAGGCGGAGAACAGGCGGGCCCCGGACGCCATCTGTGCTGCTGTGACGTCACCGTCCCAGGTCAGCGGGCGCTACATGGCCCAGCGCTGGACACTCGCGCGTCACTGGGAGCCGGCGGTGCGCCGCCGCCCGCTGCCGTCGCTGGCCCGCCACTGAACGGCCGGGCGCCGGCGGCCGCTCCGGGCCCGCGCCCGGTCCGAGGCCGCCGCACTCGGCGCCATGTGATGGCTCATCACATTATAGTGCTGGGCACCGTTAAGCTCCGCGGGGCAATATATCAGTGTGGCACGGGAAAGGGGCAGGCAGTGGTAGCTGGCGGTTAATTGAGTTTGGAACAATGTCCGATTTATCTTCCGCGTCCCCTACTGTCATCGTTCAGATGCATCGCTTTGTTGTTCACGCCGTGCCACGGTCCCTTCCGCGATTGAAAATCGTTTCGGCGCCCACCGTACACGTCCCAAGGGCCAAATCGCTCAGAAATGGCTGCGATGTCATTCTCTCGACAGTAATAGGCAGTGGAACTCAGTGCAAAGCATAGGATTTGTAACGAGTTGCTCATCTGAATGATTTCTATGAGTAGACAGTTTGCACCAGCAAAACTGGTTTTTGAGTCACAACACACATGAGCAACAGAACTGTCAACACCGTTGCGGTAGGGTTTTGACTCATTGTGCCCGAGCGCCGTGGTTTGAATTGAGGCGGCGCTGCAATCCTGATAAAAGATCGCAGTTCTCCACACAATCTGTCAAAGGCAGCAATTTGCAGAAAAATTGGTGCGAAAAGAGGACACGGCTAGCAAATGTAAAGGCACCTTTGAATACGTGGGAGGTGTAGCAGACTTCTGTGCCGTCATTCCTCCATCCCTATTTCCCAACATATATCCAGACCGTAAATCACGATAATTTCGTTATGCGACATGACGCGGCACAATCCCTGTACTTTACCTCGCCCTGGGTAACCTCTGCTGCGTTTTAACCTGTGCATCGCGTCAGTCAAGGCAGCATCAAACATGCCGGCTCCGACCAGCCAACCACTTGCAGCAGCCTGAGAAGCAGGCATAGCACACCTCACTATGGCGCCCGTCCCACCGTCCGTTCGTCTGCCGCCCCCCAGCGTCATCGCATTACTGCACCGCTGCCGGGCGGCTTCACCCACGAGCTGCCCGGCTGGTCCCACCTGCATAATAGCCGCTGATGAGGTCCTCACGCGGCGGGAGTCCGGGCGCGATCCGTTTCCACCGTCGGCAGCCCTTTGTGGGGCGGCCGGCGGGCGGCGGCGGCGCGCGGCACCCCGGCGGGGCGCGGCGCGGGGCGCGGCGCGGAGCACGGCGCGCGCCGCGGGGCCGGCGCAGGGGACGGCCCGGCCAGGTGCCACCCTGATGGATCGGCTGGGAGACCGAGCACGGCGCTCGATGGTGGTCAGGGGCTGGATCGGCCCCGGTCAGACCTCGCGCGGCGCTGGAGAGACGGCAGGCCGCGCTCTCCGCTGGTAGGTGCGCTCGCGGAGGTCAATCCACTCGCTGCATGAACTGGTAGGCGGGTGCGAGAGTGTGCCCATGGGATCCCAATATGCCGGCCAGCGCTCAGTTATAATGAGCAGCCACGCTGGCCAGTGGAAGCGAGACGGAAGGTGAAAAACTGGAGAGTTTTGTTGAAACAAATTGAGGCATTTATTATCAGCGTATTGTGTGGTTCACAATGTTGTAAGCCAGCAGAAATCTGTCACATATACAGGGCTCATTATGACTTATGGTACAGAATACACCTGGTTCTCATAATCACAGCTTGGTGCGGTGTTTGCTCTGTAATCTGCTTATGGATGGCTCTTGATCGATAGCTTTAGATTCCGGATGCTATAAGGAAACAGCCCGAAATCATGATAACGCAAGTATGCATATGGCTGGCTTTACACTGCATGAGGCATTTATTCCAAATTGCTATCTTCCATTGCCAGGAAAGAATGCGAGGTTACAGAAGTTGGGCCCTGCCAAACGGGTAGAGCTAAGCCTCTAGATGCATGAGCAAAATCGAATGAACCTCACGTATAGCTGAAGTGACGATGTATGCATGTCAGTGCCCTGTACGATAGCACAACTCAATTGTAAAAATTGCTCGAGGACTTTTTGTGGCGAGCCCAAATGAGTGTTCCTTGCAAATAGGAGCACAACAATTGTGTTATAGTACACTAGAAAACGTCAATTGGTTCAATCCTGTTTTTTCTTCGTGCATGGGTTTTCATCGAACATTTTAAACCTGAGAATGCAGTAGCAGTGCAGGGTTATAACGGAAGGAAATAAGTTTGGCTAGCGCGAGCATTACCAGCCATATCGTGATCCAGTGTACGTTCGATTAGCACGTACAACTCATAATTTACGTGACGTCGCGTAGAATCTATGCTGCCCGGCTCGTTTTAGCTTTTTGCCGAGGGCCGAACGACAGAGGTTCGACGTGACGCCCCGTATATGTCATGCTGGATGTGCGGATACTTTTCAGCGTGCTTGACCGCTCGTAGGCAGCTGTGACGCGACGGGTCCAATTAAGTACTTGATGTCACATGAGGTAGCCGATACACAGCTAAATTTCATTTGTCGCGTGAAATCGATTTCAGTGCTGTTTTTGGCAGGAAACGGCAATGGTGAGACAATTTTCAAACCATGGGCTGTCGGGGATGTCGCTTCTGGCTCCATACTACTCAAAGGCACAAGCAACCCGCTGATTCGACTTCACGTGACCGGTATGTGATCCTGCACAAATCGAACGCAGCTATTACTATTTAAGTATTGGTCTCACTATATCACGCCGCCAGCGCTCCACAAACATTACCCCCATTACATCGCACCTGTCGCTGTCGACGCATGGACGAGAAGTAACTGAAATAAGAAGCCGCATCCCATCACAGTCATGAGAATGAGGATGCTCAGAAACCGGGTGCTCTGCCCAAGACCTCGACGGAACTAACACATAAGCGTCTTTACAACTCACGTGTAAACGCAAGGCCCGTATCCGATAGCGTCAGCTGCCACGGGTGCCCAACGGCTAGGGCCCGGAAAACCCCCGTAGGTCACCTTTCCCGCTCTCAAGCTCAGACTCACTACCTGCCACTTCTTGGATGGTTAACGCTGAGCCTGTGGTGTTGCATAGGGCGAAACGAATCATGAGCACATTTTGTCGTCCCGCTCGTTCCTGACGCTTCCCCGGACAGGTCCTACGCCAGTACCGGGGAGCCTCACGCCCGGACGATGACACCACAGTGGTTCGCCGGTCACAGGCTGCCCGGGGCTGGACCAAGTCCCACCGGGCCGCCCAGGGCTGGACCAAGTCCCACCGGGCCGCCACGGTGCTGGACCAAGTCCCACCGGGCCGCCACGAGGCTGGACCAAGTCCCACCGAGTCGCCTCGGGACTGGACCAAGCCCGATCGGGCCGCCCCGGTGCTGGACCAAGCCCCGCCGGGCCGCCCAGGGCTGGACCGGGCACGACCGGACCGCCAGGGGCTGGACCGAGCACGACCGAGCTGCGCGAGGCTGGACCGAGCACGACCGAGCTGCCCGGGAGGCTGGACCGAACACGACCCGGATGCTGAACCGAGTACGACCGGGCTGCCTGGAGCTAGACCAAGCCCGAACGGGCCGCCCGGGGCTGGACCAAGCCCCACCGGACCGCCAGAGGCTGGACCGAGCACGACCGAGCCGCCCGGGGCTGGACCGAGCACGACCGCGACGGCGCTGAAGCACGCTCTGGTCTGCGTGAACACGGCGCATGCATATCAAGTGGGCGAGAGAATTTCAATGTCACGGCCGCCATATAAATCAGGCCAGGGCACTTGGAGGGGAAATGATGGCTTAATATGCTGGCGATGATGCAACATTTGCCTGATGACATTTTGATCATAGGTTCTACTGAAAGGGACTGGCCGGTCAGGATAAGTTAACCATTGATAATGGAAGCTGTGGTCTCTACAGACCTCTGAGCTTTAACGCAAGGACATATAATGGCGCTAATGTGAGTTTGATGCTTGATTATGCTTTATAGAGGAGCATTTTTACTGCCGCTGGAGTTAAGGTAGCACGCAATGAAGGTGACTTGCATAGGAATGGATGGCTACGTTGCTAGAAGAGAAGGCGATGCAGCATAAGCGTATGATGAGGCGGCATGCTCCAGTTTCAGGAGCACACCTGGTGACCACGTACATTCACCTCCCCTGCCAGATGTTGTGCCGCTGCGCTGCAGTCTGGACTACACACGCTGCCAAGCTCAGTGCAGTATTCAAGTATTTTAGTGCCCTTTCAGTGCAGTATTCAGATACTTTGGCATGGACTCAGTGCAGTAGCCAGACACTACCTGGTCTCATTTAGTAAGTTCCGCACTCGCACGTTTGGCAAAGCGTGTCTCTTCGCCATGCCGCATCGGTTGCGTGGCCGATGCATTGGGCCGACATTTGCTAAGATATCATACATCCGGCCATGCCCTGAGCTACTACCTCGGGCCACTCGATGTACACCACCGATCGTCACAAACACTCTTAAGTTCTGTTAAATCTTGGTCAGTCTTTCCTCACAGTACCAGACGAACGCGTCCTTTCGCAAATCTTTTTCACATTAAAAGTTGCTGCCAAATCAAGTTGTCATCCACATCAATGTTGCTATTTCAATTTACGCAGAGATGCCACATCAAACATAGAAAGCAACAGGTGGGGGCATCATCGTCACTGTAACTTCAAGCTCTTTGTTTGTTCCACTTTGAGCGACTTAACAGACAATCCTTTTTTCCTTTCACGAACCATGCCATCTCCAAGCTTATGCGACCCTGGTTTACAAGACCTTGTGGCTGTCTCAAACTGCTATCACCAGCTGTTTGGAATCTCAGAAAGCCAGTTCAGATGATCACGCATGCAGCTATGCACAGTCGCGCTCAGAAAACAGCAACGCCAAACAGTGGGTCGCACAAGCGATGGTAGCTGTTGTCATGCCAGACGATGCGTATTTTTATCGTAGAAACTGTGGGAGATCTGGAATAAAACAGGGTGGTTCTGAATTAGAGCGCAACAAAAGCAAACCACTATTTCGGAATGAAAGTTCAACAGCGGG